TAAGAGTCCTTGCCAACCACTCTTCGTATCATGATCGAAGTTCCAATCTCATGAAGAATAAGAATACATATACTACAAGTCATGGCTAGCCAAATGAAGCATAAAGAGTCCTTATAATGTGTAATATGGCATGTATAAAAATATGATTTAATTAAGAGTGCTTTACCTTATCACCTAAAAGTATTTTATTATCTAGAGTTCTTATGCCATCTAAGAATAAGCATTATTGTTTGATAGGAATCCTACTTTAAGTAGTCTTTTCCTATTAGGAGTCTTACTGAATTCTCCTATGAATAGACCATCTTGTAATTATTTTATTCATTCAATAAATCAATAAAGTACTCAAACTTAAGGTAGCCAATGGCTAGCTTGCTTCTTAGGAGGTATTTAAATCTTTTTGTTGCATCAAGAATTATCAAGATATTTTTATGGCATTTTAATTAATTCATTTTTTTTCGTCCCTATTATTGATGAATATCGAATTCATCAAAAATAAATTTCTATTGAAATAAGAAAATAATATTGTAGCAGTGATAAATAGGGTCGAATTCACATAAAATTGAGTTCTAATATTCTTTTACTACCAAAAATAAAATAAAAATAAAAAATGAGAATTTTTATTTTGAGTTGAAATTAAACAACCAATGGATTAAAACATATCAACAAATAAAAGTCAACTAAATGAAATTGATAGAAAATAATTCACCAAATTAAGTAACATAAGAATTAATTGTAAATAGGTTCCTATCAAAAAATAACATCAGTTTCAATATGCAGATTGATCATTGATGCAAAAATAGTTCTTACTAATTTTCAATAAATCAGTTCTATTTATTGGAGACGCTTTTAATAACCAACCTTTGCTTAATCTTAGATTAACCAAGAGACGCTCGTTGATTAACCTTTATTAATGAACAATCCCAAAGATGCTTGTAGAATTTAATTCACTCACAGTATTAATAACTAAAAAGATCTAATTCTAACCAATGAACTCAACCGTGTGATTTATTCAAATTAGATTATATACTTTTTAGAATAAACACTAATTTACCACTAGTTATCGAAATTTCTGAAATAATTATGGATTCAGAAATTTCGAATGATGATTTACATTAGGCGCTCACAATAAGCCCTATTGTAACGAATAACAAACAGTAATTTTTGTATGTACAAAAGAATAGACAAATATTTAAAATAAAAAAGAACAAAAGTAAAGCGATTAGATTTTACAATCATGATATTAAAACTTCAATTAAATCCTTAGTTAGAAAATAGAAGTATCTAACCGCTTATAGTGACTTTAGTACATCAGCAATTGTTTAGAATAACAGAGAAAAATTACAGAAAAACAAAAAAGAAATCTACTCGTCAGCTTCTTTTCGGTTCTGGCTCTCCTGCAGCTCTCCTTTTTTGCTTCTATTTAAAGAGTGAAGCCGTGTGCAGATAGGGTTTTTCTTCCCCTGATTTCAACCTTCTTTCTATTTTTAAAAGTATTTTTTTTACTTGGTTTCTAGCTTTTGCTCTTTTCTTTGAGTTTGAAAGAATTCTGAAAAATTAATATATGCTGCTACCTAAGCCTTGCCCAAGGCTTAATTTGTGTACGAACTAATGTCTGCTGCTGCTTTTAGGGTGTAAGCCTTACCCAAGGCTTAACCAGGTACGAAAATCTGCTCGTCAACTTCTTCTCTGTTCTGGCTCTCTTGCGGCTCTCCTTTCTGCTTCTACTTACAGAGTGAAGCCGTGTGCAGATAGGGTTTTTCTTTCCCTGATTTCGGCCTTCTTTCTATTTTTAAAAGTATCTCTTTTACTTGGTTTCCTATTTTTGCTCTTTTCTTTGAGTTTGAAAGAATCCTGAAAAATTAATACCTGCTGCCGCCACTAAGGTGTTAGGCTTGCCCAAGGCTTAATTGTGTACGAACTAATGTCTGCTGCCGCTTTTAGGGTGTAAACCTTATTCAAGGCTTAACTGTGTACGGACGAACTTTCTTGTGCAGAGATCAGCTCAACCAGGAACTTTTCTGAAATTGGCTCCTTCATTTATACCTGCATTAGAATTCAACAAAATTCCTTCTGTTAGGCTGTAATCGATCTAATTATGCCCTCAAATCGAAGAATAAAACTGATATTTATGCACACTATCAATTATCTTAGTTCCAATTATTTAGTAATTTTGGGTTATATAGAGAGAGTTTATTTAAAGAGTAAGCTTTAATGCTAATTGTGTATATGGGATTCGGATTGCACGTTGATCTTGGGTTCTGCATTAAACCACCTTGACTGCTTCAACTTACATATAGACTTGGCTTGTTTGGGCTCATAGTAGGCACTACCTAGGCCTGTCCTGAGTACGGTTCCCCTCTCTACTCGACCAAACACTAGGCGCAGTCCTGGGTCACTTCGATTTGATTAAACCCAACGCAACCTAGGGCATGATCGTATTTTAACCTAGGCCACTGCCACCATGCTTGGGCCAACTTGGGTTTACTATCCCAACCTGATTTGGTTCGCAGTCCTGGGCTTAATCTGACTCTAGAGATAATTGACATTTGTTATGTGTCATGGTATTATGCCATTGGTTTAAGTATATTAAAGGAGGAAGAAAAATAATTAACCATAGTCAGGTGACAGATTTCATTTATTCTAGTATGGTGTTGTTTGACATTGTTGGCTGTTTTAACATGTTCTAAATCCTAGATTCTGACAGATGTAATGACAGTTTTTGTAGTCAGTTAGTGTATTACAAGTTAGTTGG